ATGCCCTACCAGACCTCTCACACCCTCCTTGCCACTGATTTTGGATCAGTTGTTGTTCCTTTGTTCCTGGGTTGGTCAACACCACCTCTTTTTACCCTCCTCCCCATCTCCCATGTCCCCCTGGAACCATTGGTTCCCTTGTTTTCTCCTCCAGACTGTTCATCCAGCCTATCTTATCTAGATAGACCTGCAGAGAAAATAATATGCACAAAAAGACAAGACATAGCAAAACAAAGTGACAAAAGAAAATAAAACGATGACAACAACAAAAAAACAATGACAATAAAAATTTTTTTAAAAAGAAAAACCTGTAAATAGTTCAAGGTCTGTTTGTTGACCTCTTAGAATGTCCTCCAGTTGAGTCTGATGGGGTGCCATGCTCTAGCCCCAAAGTCTATCCTTGGAACTCCCTCGGGACCTCCCTGCTCTGCTCCCCCCACTGCTCTGCTGCAAGCCCTTAGTGTTGTGCCTCAGTTTGGTGGGGTCAGACTGGGCCAATCCCAACACTGTGTCTCCAGTGTTGTCCCCCATTGGGCCATGGGTCAGCGAGGGACATCGTGTTTCATAGTGGGGCCAGCTATATGGTCCACTCTGCCCTGGCTGTTCTGAGCATGTATATTGTCCTCAAGGCTTGGTGGGCCTGGGTGTGCTCCACTCTCTCTTCCTCCCCCTTCATCTGCTCCCGTGTGCTCTGATCAGATCTGTCCCTCTCCCCAAGATGCAGCTTCAGTGCTGTCCTCTAAAGTGAATTCTTTGGGGTGGTGGAGGCAGCTGTCCAGGTATTTGGGATTGGGGCCGGGCCCTCAGACCCCTCCACTGGCTCCCCACTGTCTTCGGTTTTCACTGTTACACCCTTTTGTTGTCAGTGTCCCTAGAAAGCCAGCAGTTTTTTGAACAGTACAACTTAAAACTGACCCTCTGCGAGTGCACTTCTGAAAATAATACCAGCAAATTGTACCCCGCAACATACTCCTGATGATAAGATGTACACACACACACACACACACACATACACACACACAAATCAAAAAACACCCACAACCAGAGAATCATAAATTCAGGTCATCATAGTAACTTGAATATGTTGTGATTGGGGACTGCCTGTACATTCCTAAAAGAAAAATTAATGAACATTCCCGGGCACTGCCCCTGACGTCGGACCTTCTCGGCTGTCTCTGTTGCTAGGCCTCCTCATCGGTGCTCTCTGTCTATCTCCTTCCTCTTCCGGACCCTTCACAAGGATGCCACCTGCTTGCCTCCATAACGACCCTTGGCTTTTGTCACTACTTGTTGCGTTAGCTCTTCTTCCCATTGGACTGAAAGTTCTGAGTGTCTACACACCATACTGAGTGTTCAGCACTGTGTCTAGCACATTAAAAAACAAACCTGACTCATAAAAAGAAATTTAAAAAAAATTCACTACCATTGAGTTGATGCTGACCTATCATGACCCTATAGGACAGGGTAGAACTGCCATTTGAATTTCTGAGACCCACCTATTTACAGGAGTAGAAAGCTCTGCCTTTGTCCTACACAATGGCAGGTCGTTTTGAACTGCTGACCTTCTGATTTGCAGCCCAACACATAACCACTACACCATCAGCGTTCCCAGTTAGCAACTCAGTGCTAACTGCTTCCGGTGCCATAGTGACCGAGTCCTAGTGACCCAATATAGGGTTTCTGAAACTGTAAATCTTTATGGGAGTGGACAGCCTCATCTTTCTCCTGCATAGCAGCTGGTGGCTTTGAACTAGTACCCTTGCATTTAGCAACCCAATGCTTACCCCTCACTGCCACCAGGCTGACCACACAGAAAGTGTATACCTACTTCTGTTGGAATGCATCACTCTGAAGCTGAAATATATCTGAGATGTTATGCCTGATTTAGTGCAGGTGCAGACTGCACATTATTTAATGGAAGGAGGCATGTCCTGATGACAGCACATACTAGCTCTGAGCTTTAGGATATGTCAGGACTCTTGAGAGGACCCAAGTAGTCCTGGTGGTAGAGTGGGATACGCACTGAGCCGTGAGCCACAACATCATCGGTTCCAGCGCATCAGCTGATCTGAGGGAGAAAGAGGAAACTTTCTGCTCTGGTAAATATTGACAGCCTCAGAAACCCAGGGGGGCGGGGCTGTACTACCCTTTCAAAAGGGTCCTATGAGTCAGAATTGCCTTGGTGACAGTGGGTTTGGCTCAGAGTCTGGTCATTATAATGATCTCCATTTTACAGAGGGGTAAGTTGAGGCATAGAGAAATTAGGTTGACTCAGAAGAGAAGAGCTCATAGGAAGTACACGCCAAATTTGAATCCGGGTGGCATGGCTGTCAGCTACTCTGCTGGGCTGCCTAGATGCGTTCAAGGTTTTTGAAATGAGAAGCCCCTGCTCTCCAGGACAGGCTATAAAAAGCAAGATGTAATATACCTATCTAACTGGCTTATTAGCCAGATAGAAACAAAACAAAACAAAAGGAATGAAGTACTGATACCTGCAACAAAGTAAACAGACCTGGAAAACGTCACTCTAAGTGAAAGAAACCAGATACAAAGATGACCCAATGGGGGATTCCATTACGGTGAACTCTCCTGAGAGAAGCACAGTCACTGGGACAGGAAGTAGAGGTGCAGTTGCTGGAGATGAGAGGGTGAAGGGGAATGGGGAGGCAATACTGATAGATAGGGCACTTCCCTTTGTGGGTGATAAAAATGTCTTGGCCTTGAAAGAGGTGATGGTTGCCTAACACTGGGCATGTAATGAAAGTCTTCGAATTATTGGCTTCAAAATTGTTAATTGTGTGAATTTCACCTCAATTCAGCATACAAAGGAACAAGAGGCAGGATTAACGCTGGGACTCACCCACTTTCACTGATCCTGTTTGAGGCTTTTCCACAAACAAGGTGGACATCTGGGAGTTGGCATTCTGCTTGTCTGGTTCCTCCCCGGCAGGTGGTTCCCCGATGGACCATTCTAAGGATGGAAAGGAAGAAATTCATCGTTTCCAGGTCACGTTCGTCGCAGGTAGACTTACCTGCCATTGGCGTTCTCATCTGGCTGAAGCTTGTCTTGCTCTAATAAAACCAGAGAAGTGGAACATCATTCTTTAGGGTCCCCGCCCCCTCCCTTCCTCATGACCCCCCACTGCCATCAGTAGAGTGAGGATTCCCATTCTCACAGGGACGTCTCTGTCGTGGTGGAGGGTCAAGGAATGTGCTCTGATTCCTAGGAGTGAGACTCTGCAGGTACGATGTTAGCTCTAGTCTTTGCTGACAGATGTTTCCACTGTTTGCTTCCCCATCCAGTTCATCCCCTGATAGATACAGAGTGCAGTAAGTAAATAAAGTGGAATTCTTGGTGTTTTCCCAGGCTGTCCAATCTGTTTTCCAGATATGACTTATGATAAGGCCACATCTATTGGACAATAAGATCAACAACAGCAAACCTACCCAAACGCACTGCCATGAGTTGATCCTGACTTGTAGGGACTCTGTAGGGCAGGACAGAACTGCCCCTGTGGGTTTTGGAGGCCGCAACTCTTTACAGCAGGTCTCAACCTGTGGGTCGCGACCCCTTTGGGGGTTGAATGACCCTTTCACGGGGGTCGCCCGATTCATAACAGTAGCAACATGACAGCTAAGAAGTAGGCAACTAAAATCATTTCATGGTTGGGGGGGTCACCACCACATGAGGAACTGTATGAAAGGGTTGTGGTTAGGAAGGTTGAGAACCACTGCTTTACAGGAACAGAAAACCTCATCTTCCTCCCTGGGAGGGACTGGTGGTTTCAAACTGCTAACTTTGTAGTTAGCAGCCCAACAGGTAACAGAATTTGAAAAAGTCTAAAAAGATGAGGCAATTTGATGGTTCAGACTGGAGAGAACCTAGCAATCTTGAGCCTGGCCTGGCACTTTCTTGCTGCCATATGATCAGACCAATCTGTTATTGCTGTTTAGATTTCACCACCATTGGAGACAAGTGACAGATAATGGGAATTCAAGACAGGTGGAAGCTTCAAGAATACTGTTAGTGTCCTGAAAAGGTGGAGGGTGGGGGAACCAAACCAAACCAACCAACCAATCAAAAGAAATGAAACAAAAAAAATAAACTGATGGATTCCCAGGAAGAGAGATAAACTGGAAATGAAGTTTATGTTGCTGTGTTCTAGTTTATACCCCAAGGTGCATTGACAGCAAACGCTAATGAGGAGGGTAGAAGAGAGAACTGATACAGCTATTCCCTTTGTCTGCAAGCGCTGAATGTAGAGAAGGTTCGTTTCAGCAATTAAAATATCTGGGGGATGCAGGGGAGGGAAATAGATGGGTCATGAGCTCTCGTTAATGTTTTTGAATAGGAGAAAAGTGTAGATTGGATTATTTTAGTCTTCAAGTATTACTCATGCTGCATATTCCATTTCTACCTACAGGAGGCCATTGTTTTCACAATGAAGTTATGGAATCTAGTCACATGATTATACGATTTTTTTTAATATCCAAGGTAATGTTAGTATTTTTTGGTGTGAGTGTGTAATATTAGTAGCAGTGAATAGTGGGCACTCAAGTTGGGCAGGCGAAGGAAGAATTTTTGTTTTGTTCACTTCTATACCCAACGTGCCTTTAAGAATATCTGCCCCATAAAAGGTCCCTAGTAGGAATCATTGTATGTCCTCAGCACATTTGTTGGATGGATGGATGGATGGATGAAATGAATGAATGAATGAATGAATGAATGAATGAATGAATATAGCCTCCCAGAATTGTAGCTGTGGCTGACAGGATGCATTTGAGAAGTATTTTGTGAAGTGCATGTCCTTACAAAAGTGTGAATTATTATCTAGCTTCGGTACATTCCAGGAATAAAGATTTAACTTTTTAACTTTTTAATTTAAATTGAATGAAGGTTTACAGAGCAGGTCAGTTTTCCATTCAATAATTCAGACAGATTTTGTTTCATGCCATTGATTGCAATCACCCCAATGTAATAACGTTTATCCCATTCCCTCACTGTGTTTGCTGTCACCATCCTCCTTACCAACCCTTCTGAAGTTTGTCCTTGGGCAAATGCTGCCCTTTTGTCCTTAAATAGTTGAATATTCCAAAGCATGCATGACTCCCTAGTCATAGTGTTCCCCATATAGACCTGCCTATTGTTTGGCTGGGAAGTGAGCCATGAGGACCAGTTCATTTACAGACTTGAAGGGTGACGAAGGCTCATCGTCTCAGAGGTTCTACCAGTCTCGAAGCCAACCAAGAAGCCTGGCCCTTTTTGTGATTTGGAGTTTTGTTCCACATTTTTCTCCACTGTATCGAGGCCTTTAATGTACTGTAATCCTTTTCAGAGTAGCCGGGCACCATCCATCTGATTTTTCTGGTCTCAGGATCTCGGAGGCTGATGTTCACATGACCTGTTAGTTTGTTGGACTAGTTATTTCCATGGGCTCTCAATTTTCACTCTTTTTCCCTCTGCACAGGGAGGGATCGATGGTTACACCTTGGGAGGCTGCTCATGAGCTTTTAAGACCAGAGTAGCTGCTCACCAAAGTAGACCATTACAGAACATTGTCTTCGTGGGCTATGTTATGTCAATTTACATTGCTTGGTGTCCCCAGAGACTATGGTCCTGCGTCCCTAGGCTCAGCAACTAGGAGTGGAGATTTTTAATTTCTGTGTATTTGCTAAATGTTAAAAATGAGGGTCAAAAATTGAGAACCATTAATCGTACAAGATTCAAAAGACAGCATTTGCCAAAGGATAAAGCTCAAATGCAGGAATGGGTGGCAAAGAAGGTCGTATGAAAACATAAGCACAGAAGGAAGTGCAAAGAGCGTGGTGACATTGTGGGGGCTACAGTCAATGTCATGAAACAAAATGTCTATGAATTGTTGAACAAAAAACAGATTTGCTTCATAAACTTTCACTCAAACCACAGTGAAAACGTTTTTTTTAAAACGATAGTTATAATGAAAAAAAACAAACAAACCTGGGGTGTATTGTTTTTGCCCTCACTCACTGCCATAACAGGGATTCCAACCCATATGGGGTTTCTGAGGCCATAAACCTTTATGAGAGCAGGTAGCCTCACCTTTCTCCCATGGAGAGGCTAGTGGATTAGAACTGCTGACCTTGCAGTTAGCAGTCCAATGCTGATCTGACTGTACCCATGATCCATGGGGGCCCCACCCAAAGGGTTTTCGTTGGTTGATTTTCAGAAGTAGATCTCTAGGCCTTTTTTCCTAGTCTGTCATAATCTGGAAGCTGTGCTGAAACCTGTTCAGCCTCATGGCAACACACTGGCCAATAGGTGGTGGGCGGACTTGAGGTGCGCTGGCTGGAAATGGAACCCGAATCTCTGGCATGGAAGACTTCTCACATCCAACCATTGAACCACCGCTGATTCTGACATTTTTGTGTATGCCTGTATCATGCAAAATTAATGATTTCTCAATACATTAGTCTGCTTGTCAATGGAGGTGCAATGAAAGGTTGCTAAGAAGGCTGCAAAGGGAGCAGAAGGAGAATTAGAATTAATACTGTTTCAAGAAATGAGGTCATTAGTGAGTCTATTAAGGTGGGGTCAGGATGTCTTGCTTCAGGGGGTGCTCACCTGAGTCTTTTCTCTCCAGGGCCCGACTACCCAAACCTGAAAGGAAAGTGTGATTGGATTGACGTGAGGGAGGGGACGAAGGTGGACCGCTGACTTCCACGCGCTTGGATCCCCCAAACCCCGTCTCTTCTGGCTGCAGGGAGCAAAACACTAGAAGTTGGCTTTGGATGGTAAATTAGAGGAGCTTCCTCCGTGAAAACATCCATAAAATGTATCTTGTTTTTCAAAGCACGAATAAAGAAAAATAGAAATGTTTACATTTATAGGACACAGAAAAAGGGTAGCTAGCTGGGAATGGAACAAACACATTTTTGGCCCTAAAATTCATAGTCAGGATTTACCAGTTGGATGTATTTCACAGAAGATAGGTGCCTGTTCTTGGTTTCTCATGCACCACAAAATATTAAAGCCAACATTTGCCTCTCGGTTCTGGAATGGGCAAGACCTATTGCCCCATTCTGCTCACTGGCTCAGCGAGGTGACCTGACTTCTCCTTTTCTTTACTGTCAATTAATAATAAATTTCTAAAGTAGCAAAAGAGTTAGGATTGTCCTAACCTGGCGGCACGGCACTAGGCGGGGAGGCTTCCTCTTCATCTGAAACAAGAAATAGTAGCTTAAAAAAAGACAAGGAAGAAAAGGCTTCGTCCGGAGCAACCTGGAAAAGGAGGATTCTGCAAAAGAACAAGAGAAACTACACAGAACACTTTAAACAGGAGGGTTAGCCTTAGCAGGCGTGGTGCCTGAAAAGGTCAACATTGAGAATGGGGTGAGAGCGTAGGATAAGCCAAGGGAAAGTGTAAATGAAAAAATGGAACATTATCCATTTGTACATGGGGATTGGAGGGTCAATACTAACAATCCAACCTTGATCAAATCCACAACAAGGGGTTTTCAAGTTCTTATGTTGCTGAAATAAGTGGTATTCTTCATCTATCACACCCAGTTAGATCCAGACAGATGGCCCAAAGCATAGCCGGCCTGTTTTAGAACTCTTTCCTCCCCTGCCAAAGTCAGGGGGAAAAATCAAGAGTGCCGAATATAAATCAACGTGTCACACAAAGGTCAGCAATAAGGGTTTTAGGAGCCTCGTGAGTACTTCTCTGGGAGAAAGACAGGGCTTTCTGCCCCATAAAGAGCCTCAGAAATGCACAGGGCAGTTCTCTCCTGCCCTGGAGGGTGGCTTTGAGTTGGCACCAACTCACTGACAATGAGTGAGCGTGTTCAGTACACCTCAGTATTGGTCTTGGCCAGTGCTAGTTACCGTATACACTCGTGTATCAGCCGAGTTTTTTCAGCCCATTTTTAATGCTGTTTTTGTGGTAAAATTAGGTGCCTCCACTGATATTTGCATCGGCTTATACTCAAGTATATACGGTACTTTAAAAAAAAAGTTTGCGAGGACCTGATGCTGGGGGCTTAAGTGGAGAGCAAATGTTTTGAGAATGAGGGCAATGAATGTACAAATGTGCTTTACACAATTGATGCATGTCTGGATTGTGATAAGAGTTGTATGAGCCCCTAATAAAACGATTAAAAAAAAGTTTGCCCTTGTAAAAATAAAACAAAAATAAACTGCCATGAGTCCATTCCAACTCTTAGCAACTCTCTAGGACAGAGCAGAACTGCCCCGTGGGTGTCTAGATGGTAACTCGTTACGGGAGTAGACAGCCTCATCTTTCTCTTGCGCAGCAACTGGTCGTTTTTAACTGCGAAGCAGCCCAGCTCGTAGCCCACTGCGCCACCAGGGCTCCTTGTTGACCCTTTTATGTGTGTAGAATTCAAAACTTGTCTTGAAGCAGGTATAAGGAGAGACATTGGAAATCCCCTCATTTTAGAAGTCTGTGAATCAAACCCACTGCCATCAAGTCGATCCCACCTCAAAGCGACCTGAGGGTTTCTGAGGCTGTGAGTCTTTACAAGCTCAGACAGCCTCATCTTTCTCCCGCAGAGCAGCTGGTGGTTTTGAACCACTGACCTTGCGGTTAGCAGTTCAACTCTTACCCTGCAGCAAAACCAAGGCCCTTTGAAAGAATCTTAAATATTTAAGTAGACGTTTGGTGTCATCTGAACCGCTCTTTTCCAAAGCATGAAAATAGTATTTGTAGAAATAATAATAACCTTTGTACTCAAAATAGTAGGGTAATTGTGGATTTAAAAATACAAACCCAGTGACTACTTGATATTGGATACAGAAAAGACACATGTACATTCATGTTCATTAAGAAGTGGTTTTTCTAACAATTCATGGTGAAATAAAATAACACAATTTTGCATACTCTCTTAAAACATTTACTAAAAATGTTAATAACTGCTCTAAAATTCCTCAAAAGTGAGAACCAGGAATATGCTCTATTAATGTTTAACAAAATAACTAATGTAGTACACAGGGAATAGGCTGTCTCTTCAGAGCCAAAGAGGGGATTCACGCACACTGTGGGACTTGACATTAATTAGAGGGTGCTTTCTGCTCTCAAGAAGCTGGGACAACGTTAGCCTAAGTGAAGTTAAATGCTTGTTAGTACACATGTGTCTGTGCACGTGCAAGAGTGTAAACAAGTGCAAAGACCAGAGGGCACTTCAAATCCTTCCGTGGGCTTCAGGGTCCTGTAACTGGGTGGAGGTAACACCTCAGACAGGAGTTCGCCTGTCCCACAGTTGGTTCCGTTGGGCTTCCTATCACATGCCACAACATCGTGCAGGTGAGGAACGACACATGTTTCAGAGCCATGTTTTTCAGTATTATTTTCCATATATTTAATTCAGGACTTAGTATTTTCTTCTTGTAACTGATTCATTGATTTTATTTACTGGTACGTGTAAAGAATCTTCGTGGGTAAGTCCCGTAAAAATGAATGGCAATGAGGTTTTCAGATGTAACCAAACTCTACATAAACTGGAAACTAGAACCATTTAGACTAATATGAGCACTTCCTTTTATACAGGCTTTATTATCCCTTTGTTTTCATTAGGCATAGTACACAATTGTTTAGGATGCAAACTGACAGCTAGAAAAAATACAAATTTGAAGTGCTAAAAATAAAAACTTACAAAGTTACCTGGTTGGATTGGATGAGATTGAAAAGTTTAATTGCTCTTATTTACCATAAGAAAACAGGTTCTCTTACTAGAAAAGGACATTTGAACATACAAATCTTTGTGGTCATGTTCAATTAATAAGGCATGGCATTACCCAAAGAACATGTCCAACTAAGTGAAACAAAAATATAATATAAAAGCCATCGGTTCTTATTTCTAGGTCTAATTAAAAGTGCCTGTGATGATAAGGATTAGAGCTTCGGACTCTGTAATGCAATGCGTATGAAGACTATGTACTGAAAGCCGTAAGGCCATCGCCGATAGCTACATGAACCAAACCAAACTCACTGTGTTTGAGCTGCACGAAGGGCAACTAACTTACCAACGCAGAAGTTTATTCATCTTAAAAAAAACAAAAACAAAAAACGCTTCATAGGTAGATTCTGACCCACGACGACCCTTTAGGACAGGGTGGAACTGCCCCTGTGTGTTTCCAAGACTCTAACTCTGTACAGGAGTAGGAAGCCCAATCTGAGAGGACTCAGAAGACATTTGTTGAATATACAGATGTTAGACTGAGAGGCAGATATTTGTCCCTACTGAGAATATAAATAATCTATGCTCAGCATTCCATTGATTTGCTACCTGTACTTTTCTGGAAGAATTTCAAGCCACACACAGCAGCGTTGTTTGCATAAGAGCACTGCCCTCAGTGTGGTCACTCTGAAAAGGATTTGCACGTCTGATTTTCAGTTTGTTGTTTGATTAAACACGCACATTTCTTTGCTGTTGCCTATTATATAGATTCTAGAAGGTTTTCCCTGGGTCTCAGGCAAAGGTAGGGAGTATTAGAGAGCAGGCTAGCTGGATGGACCACTTGTCCAAAGGCAAACAAACAAACCAACACACAGTGATAACTCTTTCCTGGAATGTGTAGCTAATGGCCTCTACGAACAACTGCTTCCTTTGTTATGAGACCAGAAGAACTAGATGGTGCCAAGCTGCCACCGCTGAACATTTTAGTCAAAGAGTCTATAGAAGAATCCTAACCCAAAGGGAGAAAATTCAGAGCAGGATTTCACATCGCCATGAAATCCAGACATTATGGAGTCATAGAAGCTGACGGAATCTGCCCAACCAATGCCCTGGCATCACCCTTAAACCGCACAGCTTACACCAAGATTAGCCCCTGAAGTGTTCTCAAAACGAAACCACAGATTACCTTAACTTGTAATGTTCATCTGGCGCTCTGTGCTCATTTAATAACGTTATGTTATGTGATCAAATTGACAATACGACCATGACAGATTAGACATGAAATTTAGAGGACAGTAGGTTTATGTTACTAGATGAGGAACAATCTGGAGAAGGAGAGTGAGAAAGATTGTACAACCTGAAGGATGTAATCAATGTCATAGCACAGGTGAGGGTGGGAGTCAACAAAACAAAAAGGGTGCAAAGGGGAGCTCTGGACAGCCTTGTATCGTAATTTCAGTGTAGCCACATGAATCTGCCGGTCCACGTGGGAAAGGAATGTAACCCGCACATGCACATTGTGCCAGTGTCAATTTCCTGAGTTTGACGTTGTACCCTAACTTGTGAGATGTAAACATTGGGGGAAATTGGACGAAGGATCCAGGAGGCCTCTTATGTCTTTGCAATTTTCTGCCAATCAACAATTATTTCCAAATTAACATTTAAAAACAAAACAAAACTCCTTCCCAGAAAATCATTTGTTTCCAATCAGAGACTGTCAGTCAGCCTGAGAATGTTGGGGGATCTCACCCTGAGCACATCTTATGTGACTGAGACAGGAACCCAGCGACTCTCTGAAGCTACCAAAAAATGTCACCCATTTGGAAGTTGTTACAGGACGGCATTAGGTGGTTTGGAGCTAGGCTAGATCTCTATGAATCGTGTTAAAAGTGGCACGCGTTGGAGCCACTGACTGAACATGCTTCCAGTCATGCGGTAGAGGACTGACTGCAGTCCTGCAAAGGGTCCTCATCTCCAGGCATGATTGTTCCTGACAGCTTGAAGTGAGTTGGTCTTAGGGTTGACACCATCAATCAGTGCTGAGGATGAGCTCTCAAAATGCGCAATGCTGGTCTCTCATTCTGCACCCTCACCAACTCGGAATATGCATCGGATGCCCACTTTCCAGCCTAGAGAACATCGAATGAAAACAAAAATCTAGCAAGATTATCATGGCGTGGTTAGCAGCTAAGCCAGCATGGAAATTCAGTTGTTTCTTTCCTTCTACCAGTATTTAATAGGAGGTTGTCGTTGAGCGGCTCTCTGCCGGGTGCTGGAAGGAAGGAGATAAGGGGATGCAAGAGGTGTTAAGATACGGTGCCTGACCATCAAAAAGCTGACAAGCTGACAGGAACAAAGACTCAAACATGAATACGTGCTTAAGTGGAGAAAAGAGGGATTGGACGCCAGAGGCAGTAAGTCCCAGAGCAATTAGGAAAGGGAAGGGGAGAGGGAAGTGAGCTAGAGAGCTGCGCTGAGAAGTGAAATCTGAGTTGCATGTTAACAACAGCAACAAAAGTCAACGGACAGAGCCTGGAGGGGGGGAGGGCAGTGCATGGCAGGACATGCTAGTCGTTGCTGGAA